TGAAACTCTGCCTATTTTTTTCAGCCTTTGCCGGGAATCGATCTCAGGCCATTAGGACTACGGCGCTATCCACTCAGCTGCGAGCCCCCCCCCCGTCCACACACACACAGGAGTGTACTCACCTAATTGTACTCACCTAATTGTGCTTGCGGGGGTTGAGCTCTGACTCTTTGGTCCCGCCTCTCAACCGTCAATCAACAGGTGTACAGGTTCCTGAGCCTATTAGGCTCTCTCATATCTACACTTGAAACTGTATATGGAGTCAGCCTCCACCACATCACTTCCTAATGCATTCCATTTGTCAACCACTCTGACACTAAAAAAATTATTTCTAATATCTCTGTGGCTCATTTGGGCACTCATTTTCCACCTGAGGCCCCTAGTGCGTGTGCCCCTTGTGTTAAATAGCCTGTCTTTATCTACCCTATCAATTCCTTGAGAATCTTGAATGTGGTGATCATGTCCCCCTAACTCTTCTGTCTTCCAGCGAAGTGAGGTTAAATTCCCGTATCCTCTCCTCGTAGCTCATACCTCTCAGCTCGGGTACTAGTCTCGTGGCAAACCTTTGAATCTTTTCCAGTTTAGTCTTATCCTTGACTAGATATGACTCCATGCTGGGGCTGCATACTCCAGGATTGGCCTGACATATGTGGTATACAAAGTTCTGAATGATTCCTTACACAAGTTTCTGAATGCCGTTCTTATGTTGGACAGCCTGGCATATGCCGCTGATGTTATCCTGTTGATATGTGCTGCAGGGGACAGATCTGGCGTGATGTCAACCCCCAAGTCTTTTTCTCTCTCTGACTCCTGAAGAATTTCATCTCCCAGATGATACCTTGTATCTGGTCTCCTGTTGCCTACACCTATCTTCATTATATTACATTTGCTTGGGTTAAACTCTAACAATCATTTGTTCGACCATTCCTTCAGCTTGTCTAGGTCTTCTTGAAGCCTTAAGCAGTTTTCCTCTGTCCTGACAGAGGATTGTTCTATATGTTGGGGCAGAATATAACAGAATAAAAAAAAAACACACACGCACGCACACACACACAGTGTGTGTGTGTGTGTGTGTGTGTGTGTGTGTGTGTGTGTGTGTGTGTGTGTGTGTGTGTGTGTGTGTGTGTGTGTGTGTGTGTGTGTGTATATTTGTGTGTTTGTGTGTGTGTCCTCACTCACCTATTTGTACTCTCATATTTGTGTCTGCAGGATCGAGCATTGACTCTTTCCTTTCCCGCCTTGTGTATGTGTGTGCACTCACCTATTTGTACTCACCTATTTGTACTTGCGGGGGTTGAGCTTTGGCTCTTTGGTCCCGCCTCTCAACCGTCAATTAACTGGTGTACAAATTCCTGCTCCTACTGGGCTCTACATTTGAAACTGTGTATAGAGTCAGCCTCCACCACAACACTTCCTAATGCATTCCATTTGTCAACCACTCTGACACTAAAAAAGTTCTTTCTAATATCTCTGTGGCTCATTTGGGCACTCAGTTTCCACCTGTGTCCCCTAGTGCGTGTGCCCCTTTTGTTAAATAGCCTGTCTTTATCTACCCTGTCGATTCCCTTGAGAATCTTGAATGTGGTGATCATGTCCCCCCTAACTCTTCTGTCTTCCAACGAAGTGAGGTTTAATTCCCGTAGTCTCTCCTCGTAGCTCATACCTCTCAGCTCGGGTACTAGTCTGGTGGCAAACCTTTGAACCTTTTCCAGTTTAGTCTTATGCTTGACTAGATATGGACTCCATGCTGGAGCCGCATACTCCAGGATTGGTCTGACATATGTGGTATATATTGTTCTGAATGATTCCTTACAAAAGTTTCTAAAGGCCGTTCTTATGTTAGCCAACCTGGCATATGCTGCTGATGTTATCCTCTTGATATGAGCTTCAGGGGACAGGTCTAACGTGATATCAACCTCCAGGTCTTTCTCTCTCTCTGACTCTTGAAGTATTTCATCTCCCAAATGATACCTTGTATCTGGTCTCCTGCTTCCTACCCCTATCTTCATTACATTAAATTTGCTTGGGTTAAACTCTAACAACCATTTGTTCAACCATTCCTGCAGCTTGTCCAGGTCTTCTTGAAGGCTCAAGCTGTCCTCCTCTGTCTTAATCCGTCTCATAATTTTGGCGTCGTCAGCAAACATTGAGAGGAATGAGTCTATACCCTCTGGGAGATCATTTACGTATATCTGAAACAGGATAAGTCCGAGTACAGAGCCCTGTGGGACTCTACTGGTGACTTCACGCCAATCTGAGGTCTCACCCCTCACTGTAACTCTCTGCTTCCTATTGCTTAGGTACTCTCTTATCCACTGGAGCGCCCTACCAGTTTTTCTTGCCTGTTTCTCCAGCTTATGCATCAACCTTTTATGGGGTACTGTGTCAAAGGCTTTCCGACAGTCCAAAAAATGCAGTCCGCCCATCCTTCTCTTTCTTGCTTAATCTTTGTCACCTGATCATAGAATTCTATTAAGCATGTAAGGCAAGATTTACCCTCCCTGAACCCATGTTGATGGGTTGTCACGAAGTCGCTTCTCTCCAGATGTGTTACTAGGTTTTTTCTCATAATCTTCTCCATCACCTTGCATGGTATACAAGATAAGGACACTGGCCTGTAGTTCAGTGCCTCTTGTCTTTCACCCTTTTTGTATATTGGTACTACATTAGCAGTCTTCCATATTTCTGGTAGGTCTCCCGTTTCCAGTGACCTACTATACACTATGGAGAGTGGCAAGCAAAGTGCTCCTGCACACTCTTTCAATACCCATGGTGAGATTCCATCCGGCTCAACAGCTTTTCTCACGTCCAGCTCCAATAGGTGCTTCTTGACCTCATCTCTTGTAATTTCGAACCTTTCCAAGGTCGCCTGGTTTGCTGCCACCTCTCCTAGCACCGTGACTTCTCCCTGTTCTATTGTAAAGACCTCCTGGAACCTTATGTTGAGTTCTTCACACACCTCTCTGTCATTCTCAGTGTACCTGTCCTCGCCCGTCCTAAATTTCATCACCTGTTCCTTCACTGTTGTCTTCCTCCTGATGTGACTATATAGTAGCTTTGGTTCGGTCTTGGCTTTATTAGCTATATCATTTTCATACCTTTTCTCAGCTGCTCTTCTCACACTAACATACTCGTTCCTGGTTCTCTGGTATCTCTCTCTACTTTCTGGTGTTCTGTTATTACGGAAGTTCCTACATGCCCTTTTGTTCAGCTCCTTTGCTTTCATACATTCCCTATTAAACCACGGATTCTTCCTTTGCTTCTCTGTTTTTTCCTGTCGGGCTGGGACAAACCTCCTTACAGCCTCCTGACACTTTTGGGTGACATAGTCCATCATGTCTTGTACAGACTTGGTTCTGAGTTCTGTGTCCCATTGTATATCCCTTAGGAATTTATTCATCTCCTCATAGTTTCCCTTTCGGTACGCCAGCCCTTTGTTTCCCAGTTCTTTTTTGGGGGTGATAATTCCTAGCTCAACCAGGTACTCAAAGCTCAATACACTATGATCACTCATTCCCAATGGGGCTTCCAACTTAACTTCCCTTATATCCGACTCATTTAGGGTAAATATCAGATCAAGCAAGGCTGGTTCATCCTCTTCTCTCATTCTTGTCGGTCCCTTGACGTGTTGACTTAGAAAGTTTCTTGTTGCCACATCCAGCAGCTTAACTCTCCATGTGTCTGGTCCTCCATGTGGGTCTCTGTTCCCCCAATCTATCTTCCCATGGTTGAAGTCTCCATGATTAGTAGTCTGGATCCGGTCCTGCTAGCCACGGAAGCTGCTGCTCTCTCCATTATATTGATGGTGGCCAAGTTGTTTCTATCATAATCTTGTCTGGGTCTTCTGCCATTCGGTGGGGGGTTATATATGACTACTACTATAATTTTCTGTCCTCCAGTTGCTATGGTGCCTGATATGTAGTCACTGAAACCTTCACAGTTCTGAATTACCATCTCTTCAAAACGCCAACCTTTTCTTATCAGCAAAGCTACACCACCTCCTCCTCTCCCTTCTCTCTCTTTCCTCACTACATAGTAGTCCTGTGGAAACACTGCATTTGTTATGGTTTTCGTTAGCTTTGTTTCTGTGAGTGCTATTATGTCTGGGTTTTCTTCTATTGCCCATTCTCCGAGTTCACTTGTTTTATTCGTAATCCCATCTATGTTAGTGTACATTGCCTTGAAGCTCACTTTCTTCTGTTCATTTTCTTGTCCCCTTCTTGGCGAGCATTCTGCTGGTGTGGGAAGCTGTTCCCTGGGTGAGAAGATCCGTGAGGTGGTTTGTAGGGTCTCAGAGGATTATGGGGTGGGGGGTGGGGGTTCAAGGGAAGGGGGGACAGGTAGGGTGTGGGTTAAGGAGATAGGGAGGACATGGAGGATACGGGGTGAGGGTGAGGAGGGATAGGTGCAGTCAGCTAAACTAAGCAACAGTCTTTATGTCTATTGAAGGGGAGTGCAGCGCCGGCCCCTAAGTGTTCAGCTCTCCGCAGCTACCTACTCTGACTTGTAGTAATGTTAATTTTGCCCTCTATGTATATTCTGCATGTACTGGTTAATTTACGTACTAATTCATTAGGAATTTACTATATGTCTTTTCGGGGCGCTTGGACAGGGGCATTATTAAATGTTACGTGTTTAGGCATTATATATGCTACTCTAAATGCCTCGCTTTCCTCTGTGTGTGTGTGTGTGTGTGTGTGTGTGTGTGTGTGTGTGTGTGTGTGTGTGTGTGTGTAGAAATATAGTAGATATGATAGATGCAAATTGTTTGGGAGCCAATACATTACGAAATTGGTTAAAAAGAGAAGAGATAAGAGATTGATCTTGCAGGCACAAATACATACACAGTAATTCATGAAAAGTAAACCTCTGAAACTACACATATTTAATACACATCAGACGTAGCCCACAGGAAGAGAGAGAGTTAGCTGGGCTGCGTCAACATGCAAGAACACTCGAACAAAGGCAACCACGGCTGCCCAAACCATTCCTCCACTCACCTTAACCTAGGTGTGTTAGGATCACAGACGGTCGTGGTAAACACCCTATGTACACGGTACTCATGCCTCGCCAAAGTCTTTCGATGCGTGGCCAAGTCTCTTTGCCAATTCGTGCATCACCTCTTTAAATATGAGCGTGTCCACATTCTGCCCCAACATATAGAACAGAAACCAGTCCCCCATCTTGCTCTTCCTAACTATGGTGTTAATAACTTCTTTGTTGATAAGACGGAAGCGCAGACACAAGAGGTAGGCTCTCATCCGCGGACTAAGGATGATCATGAGGCGATACAATAACACGAAAAACGTCAGAAACACCAGCAACAGAAACCAAAACCACAGGAAGATGTAAATTTTCTCGTTGACAATATTGATGGGAAGGATGCAGAGGGAGTCGTATCTCTCCAGCTCCCCCGAGGTGCCGAACTTGCTGAAGGAACACTTGGTCATGCGCGGGAACACGAAGATCATCGGGTCAATCCGGACCTCCTGGTCGTCCTCCATGAACTTTATCACGTCCAACCCGAAGGTCAGAAAGGTGTTGCCCAGGAACCGGTCGATGAGGAACATCTGACCTGAAATGCATGGAATACATCAATTAGTAATACGAAAGTATGTGTGTGTGAGAGAGAGAGAGAGAGAGAGAGAGAGAGAGAGAGAGAGAGAGAGAGAGAGAGATTTAAATGTAAATATAAATAAAATTGGAAAATAGGAAGAAACTAGGAAGCAAAGATGCGAGAGTAAAGAAGGGGACACGAAGGAAGGAATTAGTAATGGAAGGAGGAGAATGTTAAACTGAGGGGGAACAGGGAATTAAAGACAGTGGAAAAACAATACTTGTAATAAATCTCGGACATTTATCAAATACATGTGACGTTTTAGCCCCCAGGAATAAGCACACGTGCTTCTTCAACATACTGCAAGCACGAATTTATTTTATACAACGTCATTAAATGGGTTTACTTCCACCGAGACTTGAAGATCTTCAGTATGTTTGGAATACACTCAAATTTCTGAATTTCTGGGTTACAAAAGAGAAGACTCTTCCTGTTGTTTGGGGACAGGAAGCCTGCACCTAGGTGTTACCTCGTAGTGCTTCAGAACTCGTAAACTGTGTACTAAATGCAAACTACGTTCGCGAGAAGATGTACATGTTTCGTATGTAGAGACGTAAATACTCGCTCTTGGCTCAGGTGTCCAAGAGATGGTTACCTGGAGCCACACGCTTCTATTTCATCATCAGCATCATCACATGTTGCTAATCATCGTTGAGGTAAACTCTCGTTTCGTATTTTGCTAACTTTTCAAATTGAGTACAAGAAACGTTCATGTTCTAAATCATTTCATGGTGAGAAAAGCTTTAAAATGAGGCTTTCTACTGACTATGAATAACCTCTTAAGGTTCAAGAATAGTAAAAGCACAGTCTGAAAAAGTCCCATAGCCTCTTCGAAGAGAATAAAAGGTATTCAGAGAAGACCTTTGCAGGTGCTCCTCAAACACTTGTTGATAATCGTCTACCACCACCTCCTAATTTTTATTATTTTATGCAATATGATTTATTTAGTAATATATTTTCTTGCAACTTATCACTCTGCTGAACCAAGGTAATGTAATTTCTAGGAGCAGGTTGATGCACTGTGATTACGTAGCACTGGGAAGAGATGTGAAAAGAGGATAGAAGCTGGGATAGGAGAGAGGAGTGAAGGAACTATGGCCATCCACTTGGACCATTGAGGATAGAACGTAGACCTGCATAAATGGGAGGTCCTCGCTGTACCTACCAGTCCAAGAGGAATTGTCTGCGCTGAACCAAACTAAATCTCTCTCCATCTGATGGCGCAGCGACACATGCAGTTAATGTTGAGTCTGTTGGCTGCGAGCCGGGAAAGATGACAGTCTCCTAATTAGCTGTTTCAACCATCGAACGCCAGAAAACAAATTACCAACAAATTCGGCCGAGGCTCGTTCATCAGCTCGAAATGTTGTATTTTATTGCGATGATTGATTAGTCTGAGACCCACCGTTGGTCAGCACTCATCACCAGACGACTGATGCGTTTCCGGTGAGTTTGTTGATCCAGACATTGGTCAGTTCGCAGTCATAAAATATTTAGAGAATATACTTCATTGAAGTCAATAGTGATTTGACCAACACTCTCTTTCCACTTTTGCAACACAAGAGCCCATAATTAGGGAATAAAAGGATATAAAGTGAAAGCTAAGCCATTATGATTAGCACATGGAAGGGATACGAGAATAGGATAGGAGTTAGGATAGGGGCGACGGAGGAAAAGGAACGATGCCAAACCTCTTGGATCATGGGTCGAGCTAACCTACAAGGAGCGAGGCCGTCGGCTTTGGTGTTCGCTTACTCAAGTGGTTGAACTCGTAATTAAGAGTCATATCTGGGAAGATCTGAAATGCATTCTAGTCGACGCGATCGATATCCGATCTCAGAGAAGAAAATAACTACAAAATGCTTCTATCCGTCTAATAGCACATTATCCAGGGACTGGTTTAAGCCTATGGATAATGTGTGGGTTTCTAAGGACCTTCCAGATACGGATTTATATTTCTGGAAATTTAAAAACGGATATTTTTATATGATATACTTCGGTAGTCTAACCGTTATGTAATAGGGAATAGAAAACGCACAGACGATGAATCACAATAACGTGACTGAAGACATGATGACTAAACCACATATTAGAAAACGGAGGAACTACGTTTCGGTCTGTCCAGGACCATTATTAAGTCGTGTGTGACTTGATAATGGCCCAGGACCGAAACGTCGTCGATCCACCATTTTCTAGTAAATGGTTTGACCATCATGTCTTCAGCCACGTTATTGTGACTCATCGTCTGCGTCCTACACACAAAACAGATCTACACCTCAACCAACTAGTAGCAGCCTTCCCTTCCCGCCCCCCCCCCCACGCCCCGCAAGCGGCCATTCCCCCCCCCCCCACGCCCGCGAGCGGCCATATCCCTCCCCAAGGCTCCGCAAGCGGCCATTCCCGCCCCCCCCCAGGCCCCGCAAGCGGCCATTTCCCCTTCCCCCCACGCCCGCGGGCGGCCATATCCCTCCCCCAGGCCCCGCAAGCGGCCATTTCCCCCCCCCCCCCAACGCCCGCGAGCAAGACTGACCCAAGCTCCAGCCCTGGAGAGAAAAAGACTGAGCCTCAAGGCTTCAGTGTTTGCCCCTGTTCACGCAGGAGACCAGGGTCAGGATTCAACAGTTACTCATCATCTACTTACGAAACCTGTACATCATTTCTCAATCTTCGCCGCGTTTGTTTGCATTTATTAAACAGCTTATGAGCTCCGAAGCACTCAAGAGGCTGTTTATAACAACAACAATTGATTGGGAAGTAGACGAGTAACTGCTTATTGAATCCAACCCCCTTGTTAACCGATTAGTGATTCATGTTCTAGGGAAATGAGGTATGGTAAGGCGGTATAACATATGCTGGGGGAGGGACGCGGCATTCAGCATACTAACTGAAATATTCTTCCGTACACAGGCGAGGAGTCACAATAACGTGGCTGAAATATGTTGACCAAACCACACACTAGAAAGTGAAGGGACGACGACGTTTCAGTCCGTCCTGGACCATTCACAATCGATTTGAGAATGGTCCAGGACGGACCGAAACGTCGTTGTCCCTTCACTTTCTAGTGTGTGGTTTGGTCAACTTCTTCCGTACACCTTAGTTAAAAAAAAATATACATATATATAGATCAAAATACCTCTTGTGCTGGCAGGAAGAAACGGCCCCCTGGCCCCCTATACCCTGGGAGTGCCATGGTGCCCCAGGGGAGGCACCGTGGCACTCCCAGATAAGCTGCCATACGGGAACAATATACCGCGTTAAGAATCAGTCCGCTCTATAGCCTCTCATGGGGGTGTGGGGTGGGGGTGTGGGGTGTGGGGTGGGGGTGTGGGGTGTGGGGTGGGGGTGTGGGGTGTGGGGTGGGGGTGTGGGGTGGGGGTGTGGGGTGGGGGTGTGGGGTGGGGGTGTGGGGTGTGGGGTGTGGGGTGGGGGTGTGGGGTGGGGGTGTGGGGTGTGGGGTGGGGTGTGGGGGTGTGGGGTGGGGGTGTGGGGTGGGGGTGGGGGTGTTGGGTGGGGGTGTGGGGTAGGGGTGTAGGGTGGTCGTAGGGGAGGATGCCTTGAGCTGGTGATAGATGGCTAGTTTGCGGTTAGGTAGACATTGGTTAGGGATGTCGCTGAGGCTGTGACTCGTCCGTCTGGCTGCGAGTAGCCGCATCGAACAGCCTGGTTGATCAGGCCAGCAACCAAGAGGCCTGGTTAGAGACCGTGCCGCGGGGACGTTGATCCTCGGAATTACCAACAAGCAGTCAACAGGTAGGTATACCCCTGTTAATAAAAAGAGGGAAATAGGGAGATAGGGAAACGGGACAGGAAGACTGTGACAGTCAATGGATAATAGTCATCCCCACACACCGGGACCCTTCTTTATCACCCCTTTCCCCTGCACAAATCCCCCCCTTCCTCCTCCCTCTTCCTACCCCAGGGCCCCCCTTCCCCATCCCTTTACCCTAAACAACAACAACCCCCCCCTCCCATCCCCCTCACCACCTCCCCAGCACTCTTACCCCCTGCTGGTTAATCAACTACAACTAGGCAATTAGAGTCCATGTGATGATTATCATGGAAATCCCGGGTTATGACCTAATATATCCTCCTAATCAAAGACTTATATTTTGCTTCTCGTTCTGCTATATACAGAAATCCTCGCAACAGCAAAATTCGGAGCTACGGTGCTTATGAGCTAAGTAGCCCGCGTCTGAGAGCGGGTCCAAGGTGGCTGAAAGTCTCTCGTCAATTGCTGTGATTAATGCACGTCAATCGTCTCATCTGACGCTCGACACCTCCAGAAGCCTCCGAGATGCTGCCCCCAATCGCATCGTCCCAGCATCTCTATCGGAGCGTCGGCAGATATACAGGTTAAAGACAAATGAGATTTGCATCTCCTTTCCAGGAGCAGCATGAAGAATGTTGTGTTTATGTTCTTCTGTGAACACATGGATGACAGCGTTCAGAAAACATGAATACCTGGATGACAGCGTTCAGAAAATATGAATACCTGGATGACAGCGTTCAGAAAACATGAATATCTGGATGACAGCGTTCAGAAAACATGAATACCTGGATGACAGCGTTCAGAAAATATGAATACCTGGATGACAGCGTTCAGAAAACATGAATATCTGGATGACAGCGTTCAGAAAATATGAATACCTGGATGACAGCGTTCAGAAAACATGAATACCTGGATGACAGCGTTCAGAAAACATGAATATCTGGATGACAGCGTTCAGAAAATATGAATATCTGGATGACAGCGTTCAGAAAACATGAATACCTGGATGACAGCGTTCAGAAAACTTCTGTGAACACTTGGATCGAGAAAGAGATAGAGAAAGTGGATAGCGAGCTCGAGAAAGAGAAAGATTAATAAAGAAATGGATGAGATATCGAGCGAGAAATGGACGAGAGATTCAGACAGAGAAAGAGAGATGAGATTCGCTCCACACATTGGTAGAGACTTT